AATGAAAATGAAGCTAATAATACCAAACATAAATTAAAATGTGTTCTATGTAAAAAAGATGGACACCCAGCATCATACAGAGGTTGTGAAAAATATAAAGAGCTTGTTGCTAAAGCAAAAAACTCAAAAAGGAATTTGAATGTAAGTAAAATTCAAACAAATAATAATACATCTCAATTTGTGAAGCCAAATACAACATATGCAGCAATTACAAGAGTGGTGCAGAAGAATGAACTTGAAAATTCACGACAAACTGAACCTCCATGGACAGAATTGGTAAATGAAATTAAATCAATTAATAAAAGATTAAACATATTAGATAATAAAGTTTCAGAACAAAGTAAACAAATAGAAATCTTATTTAGTATTGTTAATGATAGAAATAAGTAGTATTAAAATAATTTCATTAAACATAAACTCTTTAATCTCTCACCAAAAAAGAATAGGATTAACATATTTTTTAGAAAAACATCAGCCTGATATTATGCTTTTAAATGAAACAAAATTGAACTATAGACATAAGCTACATTTCAAGGGTTATACTTTGATTCGGAATGATAGAAGGAATTCCAAGAGAGCTGGGGGAACTGCCATATTAATAAGAGAAGATATGAAACATAAAGAAATTAAAGGATCATTTTCTATGAATAATAGTATAGAAATATCGGCCGTTAATTTAAAAATTAATGCAAGTCAGAACTTATATATATTATCAGTATACTCAGCTAATAATGACAGAAATGAATTTAAAAAAGATTTACAAAAAATTTTTCATGAGTTAAAGTTAGGCAATAACAATAATTATTATGTTATAGCAGGAGACTTAAATGCTAAGCATCAAGATTGGGGAAACAGATACAATAATAGTAAGGGCAATATTTTGAAAAAATTCTTGTCTGAAAAAGATATCGAATATAAATGTAGGATGTATAATACTAAAGACCCAACATTTTCAAGAGCAAATTCGTTTCTAGATATTGCGTTAGTGGACACAAGACTGGGAATAATTACAAACGATTTTACGGAGAAATTAGAAACAATAGATTATGATAGTGATCATAAAGCAGTACTCATAGTCATAGAGAAAGAATATAATAGTAAATTCTACATCGAAAAATTATTGCATAAGTCTAGGCGAAACTATAATAACATTATCTGGGAAAAATTTTATAAAAAACTTAAATTGTTGAATTCAAACTTTATAATAGATAATAATAGAAGTCTAAATAATGAGGAAATAGAAAACTATTTAAATAAAATAGAAGAAATTATAAAAATGGCTATTGATTATAGTGTACCAAAAATTAAATTGAAAAGTTCATCCCTCAAATTTGAAAATAAATTAGTTAAAGAATTAATATCACGTAAAAATTTAATGATTAAAAAACTAAACTACTTAAGACGTACAAATATAACCAATAGAAACAATAATTTGATAAACCAATGTAAGTCACTAATAAAAAATTTACAGAAGTTGATAAAAGACAATATTAAAATCGAAATAAATAAATGTTGGACAAAAGAATTAGAATCTGTAAGACCATCTAGGAATATGTTTAATCAAATAAATAAATTATTTAGAAAAAAAGAAAATAGTCAAAACATAAACGATCTGAAAATTAAACAAGACCAAGAAAACCTACTAGAAGAAGCTGGTATTAAAAAAAATTCTTTGTATAAAGAAAACGGAAATTTTATAGTTACTAATAATCAAGAAAAAATGAATGTCTTAGCAAAATATTATGAAAAAGTACATCATGGAACTAGAAATAAAAATAACATAGCTCTTAATCGTCAAGTTAAAATAACTGAGAAGAAAATCAGGCAAAAATTGGAAAATAAAATCAATTCAAATGGTAGACACATCGAATTTAATAATAATAGGAAGGCTGATAGTGATAAACTAGACAATAAAATATTTACCACTTATAATGAAATAAAAAAAATTCTGAAGAATATAAATAATAAGAAATCTTATGGTATAGATGAAATACCTAATTTTATATTAAAAAAATTGCCAAAAGAAATTGTGATAAAGTATTGTATATTATTTAATAATATGATAAATAATAGTTACATAATTGAAAAGTGGAAAATATCAAAAGTCGTACCAATTAAAAAACCGGGAAAAGATCCACAAGATCCCCAAAGCTATAGACCTATAAATATGTTGCCAAATATTAGTAAAATATTCGAACAAGTAATTAAAATCAAATTAGATATAATCTTGGAAAAGGAAAATATCATACCAGAAAATCAATTTGGGTTTAGAACAAAGCACAGTACAACGCATGCAATTAACAAAATCACATCAGATATTTGCTGGAATCTAAATTCAAGAAAATGTGTAGGAGCATGTCTGATAGATCTTAAGACTGCATTTGATACATTGTGGATAGATGGTCTAATATATAAAATGACAAAATATAAATTCCCAGAAATAATAATACTCATAGTATATCAACTGATCACCAAAAAGAAGTTTGTGATAACAAGTAATAATGAAAACTCGGAAATGTTATATAATGTTACTTCTGGTCTACAACAAGGCACAGTGCTGGCTCCGATTTTATTTAATATCTTTATGTCAGATATATTTCGACATAAAGACTTTGAAATAAAAACAAATAGGGCAATAGCTTTCGCAGACGACATAGTGATTTACACAAGTGCCGACAAGTGTACTGAAGCACAAATAAAATTGCAAAATTTATACAATCACGTCGAAGAGTTTCTTTATGATTGGAATCTAATCATAAACGAGACAAAAAGCGAAACAATCCTGTTCAGACTAGGGCTAGAAAACTGTAATTATAACATTAAGAGATATTGGAGAAATTTTCAGATCAAAACTAAAAACAATGTAATAATCCCACACAAGAATGTAGTACGATATTTAGGTGTATACTTAACAAATAGATTAAATTACACGCAACACGTTGAAAATCAGTTAAAAAAAGCGAAATGTGCATTTTCAATGTGTAAAGGCTTATTTTATAATAAAAAAATAAGTTCGAAAGTCAAAATAATTGCTTATAAATCATTAATTAGACCTATAATAACATATGGTGCTCAAATTTGGTACAACATCAGCGCAGGAAATATGGAAAAAATTAGAAAAATGGAAAGATACATTTTGAGAGCTTGTCTTGGTAAAATTCGGGATCCGCAAACTGATTATAAACGTTATTACAGAACAAAATATATCTACGAAACAGCAAAAATTGAACGAATAGATCTGTTTATTATAAAAATAATCAAGAACCACTTTACAAAAACATGAGAAATACAAGAAAACTCGCAGATTTGCCATATATATTATCCTAATCAAGAATATTTTAAACTAGCAATGAAAAATGGTATGATTCCACCAGAAACATTCATATATCTAGATGAAAATAAATATATTCAAAATAACGAGGGATTACCAATAATTTATCATATTAATAGAAGAATTACAGACCAGCGAATATTGTATAGCCCTGGTAATATAGAAAATAATTTGTTAAAATACAACATAGACATAACAAATTTTGATGTAGTTTTTTTTGAAAAAAGTAATTTAATTGGATGGTGGAGAGATTAGGGATTATAATTTTTCCTTATAAATTCTTAGTTAATACAAAAATGAATTAGTTAAATTTTAGGTTAAAATTAGGTTTAGTTTTTAGATTAGGTTAGGTTTTTTTTTATAAAAATTAAATATAAATCAATGAATTTTTTTTCCAATTTTTAATTCAATAATAAATAAAAACGATAATACAAAAAAACAACAACATTTAGATATATGTAAACGATTCACATTAAAATGAAAAAAAAAGAAAATAAAATTGTATTAAGTCCTCGCTTCCATGAGGCAGTAATCAAAGATTAAAAGAATAAAATGTATATTTCATGGCTTTATATGATAATGTAACAAAAAATGAATAATAAAATAAAGCATTAAAAAAAAAAAAAAAAAAAAAAAAGCATCTTAACGTTAAAATGTTGAATTACCTTATATAGATTAATATTTTTTACTGTATTATTTTCTATACTGTGCAAGTTTTTGATTGGCCTCCTATTAGAGAAAGAAACTTTACAATTAGGTTCTCATATCAGAAATCTCGACCAGCATTCCAATACTAGTATTTATACTGTTCTTGAGAAATAACTTAACGTACGGTAACGTAATGTATTGATATACATACGAGTACATGTTATAAACTCTTTACTTTTTATTTTGTATAAAATAAAAAAAGAGGGTGAAATTGTCTTCAACAATACAATCGAAAATTCTAAAAAAAGTTTAATTTATAGCTGAAGCACCTTATATGAATAAATATTTTGTGGTAGCTATATCAACTTAACAATCTCCATTATTTTTAAAAATTTATATGGTTCAAGTTCAAAGTCATAAAACAATTCCAATTTCATAATTGAAACAAAAAAAAAACCCAATTTTGTTTTTGCTTCACTTTTTATGCTCTTCCACACTTTCAATTCACAAATCAGTTCTGATTTTTTTTTATTAATATTTTTAATCTGATAATGTCATAATATCCTTATTTTTTACTTTTGTTTATGATGACCTTCATGAACAAAATCAAATACAACTTTCCTAAAAACTTTCAATTTTTAAAAATATTTCACTTGTTATTTTCCATTTTTTTCCCCATGTTCTTTTTCCCATTCATTTTTTGTTAAAATCCCAAAACACTTTCCATTTTATCACAATAAAAAAAACAACAACCTACCGAAAAGGAGTAGATAATTTTCTGATATCATATCAGAAATTAGTTTTGCAAAAAAAAAATTTCAAATATGTATGGGTAAACATTGTATATCAGATATATTATTTAGACCTCAACACAAAACATACTAAAAAAGAATAAAATATTTTATAAGAGTGTGTACATGGACAAAAAGTTACAAAAATCAAAATGTGTAACTTCATATTGTATAAAACAAATAAGTATATAACAATAATAATATAAAAGTTTAAAAAAAAAAAAACTTACCTAATGGATCCACACGGAATATTATTTCACCCGATATAACATGAAATTTTGGGGTTAACATTAAAATTATTGTGATAATCCAAAAGTTGGTTAAAAAGTTTTTATGGCGATTTTTTTTATATTGAAATTTGTTACGTTGAATTCGTTGTAATAATTGTGGTATATTATTATTATTCTGTTCTTCCTGATTTTCTTCCTTATTTTGTTCTACTTGATTTTCATTGAATTCTTTATATTGTTGCTCATTATAGTGTAGCTGATGATTTTCATATATATTTTGTTGTCGTTTTTGTAATTGTTGCTGTTCTTTATGCTCTTCTTGATTTAGTTTTTGTGGCAAATTAACCGAAATAATTTTAAACTTTAACGACATTTTATTATCTAAAAAGTAAAAAAAGAATCACCACTCGAATATTTTATAAATGTGGTGTAATTTGGTAATAATTTTCTCCTTATTTTTAACTTTAATATTTTTTTTTTCACTTTTGTCCAAAAGATGATGATAATTATTAGTATTGTTGTTGTTAGAACAATGATAAGAGTTTACACAATAATGTCCTTATCTCTCTTTAATAAAATTTAACATAAGTAATTTTATATACACACATTTATATGCGCATGCATTTGTGTTGGTAAATGTTGTGAATATAGGAAAAAGTTTACTTAAAAATTGTTGTGAAAATAAAAACCGGAGAAAATAAAATATTTTTTTTAATTTTCATTAAACTAATAATGCACGAATTAAAAGAGAAAAAATTTATTTTTTTCTTATTTTTAATTTATTTTATCCTTTTTCTAATTTTAGAAATTTTATGTTTGGAAAATATATGAAAAGAAAATGAAAAGAATGTTAAATAAACTAAGTAAATAACAGTAAAGAAAAAAAAACGAAAAGTTTATTTTAAAAAAGGTAGATTATTTTTTTTTTCTCTGTGAAAATTACAAAATTTTCATTATCATATTCGTCCTTTTCTTATTTTCCATTATACAAAAATCTCTAGTATCTTTTTTTTTTCTAAGTTGTCCCACTTTTTCTTTCTTTTATTTTATATTTTATATATTATATTTACTTTTTCTACACCGAAAAAAAAGGACACTCATTAATTCTTTCCTTATTTTGTTCGTATCCTGTTTCCTCCTCAAATAAATCCCAACACTATTTTAAATTTAATTGTAATAACAAAAATACACATATGTGTATGTACATACATTTATATATTATTATCCTTAATTAGGTCCTTGTAGAATAAATATATTTCACTTTTAACTATTATATAGTTATTTCCGTTGTAACTGTTATACAAACAGTTGTATAATTATATTTATATTCAAACTAGAGGATAAAAATAAAAAATTCTAATAAAATTTCAAGATATTTTTCCCTTTTTTTTGATAATTTAAATAATAATAAAAATAAATAAAAAAAGGAAAAATTTATATGATTCTCGTGTCCACTTTAGAAAATTTAATAAAATAAATTAAATAATATTAACATTATTTTCCATTATAGTGTTATTTTCATTTTAATGTATTCAAAATATAAACCACTCCTGTATATACCAATTTTATAATTTATTTTATTGTTTTTATAAAATATAAAACACTGAATGATTCTTATTTTGATTTCATTATTATTCTACTGTATATAGAATCTTTAAACTGTTATATAACTGAAATAATATATTAAATATATTAGATATATTAAATATTGCATTAAATATATCGTAAACAGAATCAATTTTTGTTATATTCAAAATATTGGCACCTACTTATTTAAAATTCTAATTTTCATTAGTAAGTATAGAGATTCATTTGATTTCTATATTTTGACGAGAAGAAAATATATTTAATTCCAAAAATTCGATAATAAGAATAAATTATTTAACTTTGAGTATAATTTGCTTTTAACCTGACCATTGGTGCAGTGGTTATGGCACCGGCCCTTTAACCGAAGGATCTCGGCTTCAAACCCCGGTCAGGTCACTATAAAAATTATATTCAATATTATATAACATTAATATGCAATACTAAAGGCTAAGAAAAATAAACAGTAAATATTAACAAACTGAAATATTTAATATAAATAAAAACTACGGTTGGCTAGTCACCTACCTAGCTAACTCTCTATGACTATAGAAACTAGGTCATGATAGATATCATGCACTAGCCCCTATACTCCTCCTAGGAGTGAAGGAAAAAAAAATAACTTACTTTTAATTGTATAACAGTTTTATAGGGTAATCAAAAATTTTTAAGTTGTACTAAAAAATTAAGAGGTAATATAAATAATATTAAAGTGCTAAAAATTCTTCTTCAGTTGAAAATAATGAAAAATATTCAATATAAGTCGAGTAGCTAGGTATTTGAAATTCTAAATTATTTTAGATCCTTTCCTATTATTATTTCCTATTATCCTGTTCACACAGCAACGAATAACATGTTGTACATGGTGTTTAACTACACAATTTTATATTGAAAAAATAAAAAACATGGTTTTCTATTGTGAATGATTTTATTTTTGGTATCTTTTCCAAAAATCAAAGCGAATTTAAATCAATAATAATTTTTAATAAATTGACATCCAAAAATTACTTCAAAATACAAAAATTATTTTTCAAAATTTTTAAATAAACAAAATGTTAACCAAGACAAGTTAACTGTTAAAAGAAAACAGCTTATTTGCAGTGTTGTATTAACACTATTTTCTGTAACATGTTATAGGAATAGGCTATAATTATACCGTAATTTTTTTTAATAAAATATTTTTACAAGATCAGAAATTACATCCGAATCCGAATTACATATTATTTGAAATCATACTACTATAATTTCTTATATACATATATTAAAATAAATTATTCAAATATAAAATATTTTAAAATAAGTAGCAACATAAAATTAACGAACTGACGGACATTCTGATTATGTAGAGTAAAGCTTAAATTTTTTCATGTCTTATTGATAATTATGTATTTTTCAAAATCTGCTTAAAATTATGTTTTACTATTAAAAAACATTATGAACAAATTAAGAAATGTAATTAAAATTTAATATAATTTCAAAATTGATCCTGTTTATAAACTGTATTATACATTATGCATTACAATCAGACAAACACAAATATACATAATATAATGTCGACCAATACAAATAGAATTTAAAAATATTCTAATAATAATTTGATTCAATATAAAATAAATAAGTATATATGTATGTATTTAAATTTATTCTCATTTCATTTAAAGAACTTTTTTTTCGTTCCTCTTCATTTATTTATGAATATTGTTTCTTATTGTTAGAAATGAATAAAAAAAATTTTTTTGAACAACAAATATGAAAATTTCCGTAAAAAATAATTTTTATTTTATATTATATCGCACATTTGCGAGAACAATGACATTACTCAAAATGCAGAGTGGCCAACTTGCTTTTATTACTGTTATACTTTAATATAATATAAAGCTTTTCTGTAGCAAAATAATCCAGAAAATTTGTTCATATACTTGCGGAACATTTCTATACCAACTTGTTTTAGCCTTCGATAGTATAATAATTTACACTCGGCTATAAATACTTTAAATTTCGGAAGTCGAAGTCATATTTTTGAGTTGTGTTTTTATTCTTTCCAATGTGCGATATGTAGGTATACATGCTCTTAATATAGTGTACATGTGTGTTGTTTCATACATTTATACATTTGTATTTCATTGCACTCGAATAAATTTATTTATTATTTTCTTTTTTATTATTTTTATTTAAACAATTTTATTTCCTTTATCTTTTCTCATATTGTTATTATTTTTCCTTGTTACTTGAACATCCTTTAAACAATAAGTCTTTTGAATAATAAAATTATTAAAAGAAAATATTTTTATATTTCAATAACAATTAAAAATGATAAAATGAAATAAAAAAATTTTTTTAATACTCGTATTATTTTTAAAGAAAATCTTTCATTAAATATTTTAAATATTTATATCATCACTTTTATATCTTTAAAAGCAATAATAATGAAAAATATAAAATTTCTTTTATCAACGCACGTAAAACCAAAATGGTAACACTTTTTTTTGTTTTATGGGCAATTACAATATTTGAAATTTATTTTCTTAATAATTTAGTTTCATAAAAATTAATTACATATTAAAAAAAAACTCTTTTTATTCTCTTATAAATTTTTTTTATGATTAAAAATTTCTACTCACGTAAAATGACAAGTGTATAATATTCTCAATTCTCATATAATTTTATAAACGTTTTACCTACCTAGTAATATTTTGTGTCACTTCATTCAGATATAGAGTTATAGAAGGAGCCAGATATGGAGTTGATCCTGCCAATCCATACCAATACAAATAAATTTTGAAGTTGTCTAACAGCTGATGATATCTTAACAAATTTGGTTGAACAACTCAAAATATTAACCATGTTACCATTTTTATTTATACAAAATTTTAGTACCCTAAGTAACTTCCAAATTATGGCCAAATAAATATTGAATTGGCATAGCAGCTACCAGAAGGAGTCAAGAAATTTCAACAATTTTTATTTCATATAACAGCCCTAAAAATATATTTGCTCTGTATTATAGCTTCAATAATTTCTTAGATAAAGTCGTCAAAATAAAGCACTATCCCGATTACATCCAAATTAATTATTTTCGAAGCGAAATTTAATAATTTACAAGGGTTATTATAGAGATTTGTATAACAGAAATTTTTGTACTTACAATTCAAAACAAAATAAATAATTCGTAACCAATGTATACGAAAATGTAAAAACGCAGATGAATTTGTTAACGTATTGTGAATTTTGAGTTCTGGCTTTTCTCTTTCAATAATAGTATTAAAGCTATTTGAGATTTACAGAAATCTCTGTTTTACTAACAAAACTTATTGAGATTTTGGGCATTTACTATATCTATAGAGATTCCATGGAATATATGAAAAGAAAATTTAATAAACATGACGTTCTTATGTTCACCTTAAAATTTAGAAAAAAAACTTTCATATATTCAATTCAGAGTTATTCACCACTTGAACGTATAAATCAAATAATTTAATCTTATAAATCACATAATACTTTATTAATTTTGTTAAATCTAATTTGTACCCATTGTGAAATTTTTATATAACTTTTATAATAAATTTAAAATGTTATATTCGAATTCGCCTGGTAATTAAAATTTGAGCAATAAAAAAAAAAAATTCTTTGAATTTTTCATCACATCGCAATATTTTTTATTGATTATTCAGTAATTTTTTTATGTGAAATAATTTTTTCATAAATTAAAATTTAAATACACACATATACTTAGAGTAGCTATGTACATACAATGAATTTGTAAATATTTAGCTAAAATTACCACATTTATATTTAATAATTCAATATTGTATGTACATAAGTAATAAT